AAAAAAAAAAAAAAAAAAAAAAAAAAAAAAAACGACCATTAGTGAATGGACAGTTTCTTACTTTGTGTTACATTTAACTGTTCTTTTGACAGCCCAGTTTTTAAAGCCAGGTTCGTATGGAAATGCTTTCACTCCACTTGCACTGCTTTTGGAAATAGCATACTGCTTCATCTGTCTGTTTATTTTAGTGCATTCATAATATAACACAGTCAGCATAATGTCTCATCTCCACTTAGCCAAAGATTGAGTTTTCTTAAATAAAAAAAAGGGGGCAGCAATTTTTGTCAGCATGGTTTAATATCCTAAATCTCTTTGCCAAGTACAGTTATAACATTAGTCTGTTAAAAGATTAAACAGTAATCTAATCAACTACATAATCTTAGAGTTGTTCTGCTTTCCTTGTCCTTTCTGTAGCTATTGTAGGAGTTATGATATAAAATAAGGATTTTTATGTACAGGTAAGTTTCTTTTCATAGTAGTATAATAAAGGCCTCTTTACCTTTTCATTTTTGGCTAACATTGCTTGTACTAAGACTTTCGTTTTTGTTTTTTTTAGTGAGGTTTTTTTTACAAATACTTAGGTACTCAGTACTTGTTAAGGGGATGCTTTTCCTGACAATTCATTTGGGAGGAGAGAAGGGAAAAAGAGGCAGCAGTGTTAGATTAAGTATTTGTGATGTTTAATAACATGAACATCATCACTTGGGATAACCATAGCATTTTCTAATTCTTTCAGTTCCTAGCAAAAAAATTTCCAGTCATGTTTTGTGTACCATGATGATTTTGTGTGATAGTATGTATATATCTTGAAAACAGCAGTGTCTTTTGTTTTAGAAACAAGTTTTTCATTATCTTTTGCTTCATTTTTGTTTTTTAAAGCCTCGTAATCTCTCTTTTTTTAATCCTCATCTGAGGATGTATTTTTCCATTGCTTTTCAGAGTGAGTGGAAGAGGGAGAAAGAGAGTTAGAAACATCAATGTAAGAGAGACACACATCGATTGGTTGCCTCCCGGTCTCGAGCTGACTGGGGCCAGGGATTGAGCCTGCAACCAAGGTACGGCCCTTGGTCAGAATCAAACCTGGAACCCTTCAGTCCGAGGGCTGATGCTCTAACCACTGAGCCAAACTGGCTGGGGCTGATCTCTTAATTTTTTATTAAAATTTTCTATTTATTTTATTGTTTTGAAAGAGAGAGAAACATCCATGTGATAGCTAAACATCTGTCGGCTGCCTTCTTTACCCCCCCCACACACAGTAGGGATTGAGGCCACAACTGGGGCTTGTGCCCTGATCTGGAATCAAACCAGCAACTTTTCAGTGCATCGGGATGACGCCCAACCAGTTGAGCCACACTGGCCAGGACTCTCCTGATCTCTTTTTCCTCCATCAATGAAGTAATCAGCTGCTCGGCCCAGTTTTCCACTTTATATGCTGTCCTAAACTTGTAGAAGGAAATTGTTCTTTAAAAAAAAAAAAAAAAAAGGCATTGGGGAGGCTTAATCTTCCTCTTCTAACTTTCTGTCAGAGAAGGTAACAGTAAAATAATTTTTTCTTTCCTTTCTAACTCCAAAGAGCATTTTATCATTGATAAGGAGCTAAAGATAAAAAGCAGTTTCGTATGTTTGACTTTTACATAGAGATTTATGGTTTTGTTAGCTTTATAAATTGATTTCAGGAAATGAGATTATTTTCAAGTGGTGATACCATATTAATGGAAATTACATTTTATTAAATATAGAACACTTTGTGTTTATAATTTTTAAATGTCTTCATTTGGACAAGTAGCATCATTTTATCTGACATAGTTAATGGTTATTTTAGCTTTGTCTCTAATACTGGACAGTATTTATAAAAAGCAAAGAATTGGACAAAGGTATGCAGAGGTTTCTAAGATCTTGACTCCTTACACAAAAGCTGACATTTGCTGACATTTAATTGTTGTTTCTGGTGTCTTTTCATACAGTTTACATTGAAATACCTTTCCTGGTGTGCTCCTAGGAAGATGAGACATTATGTATATTGGTTTTTCCCCCCTACATGCACTAATGGTTCTTTACTGTTAACTTATTGCTAGGCCTGTTTCATTCTAACATTTTAGCATTTTTGTTAGATTACATGTTGAAATGCATCACTCAGTCTGTGCTTGAGCTCATTTTATTTTTCTGTTTAATCAATTTAATTTCTTGTTTTACTAACCTCACTGTTTTTTCAGTTTAATATTGGCTGCATGCTAGTTAAATATTTATATTTTATATATATATATATAAAAACCAATCAAGTCTAGCCTGGATTTTGCTCTGATTGTGTTTTCATTTCTAGTGGTGGGGCAGTCTTACACTTACAACTTACTTTGTATCATGAAAGCCTGACACATAAACAAAATAACTAAACACAATGTAGATTTTCTTTTAAAAAAAATCTTAAAGTGGTGCTGTCTAGGTGGTGGATATGATTGTATAAGTACCTTGATTTTATGCTTTTTTAATGTTAGTTTTAAACTTCATAAGTGTATTCTTCCCTCTTCTCCCCTTCCCCTTTTTCTCCTTTTAAAAATGTTATGTGCAAAAGTTGCCCAGCACACCATCAGAAAGGACCCTTACTCCCTATATTCTTTTCATATAAAATACCAGCCAGCATTTCTTTTTACATTAATGTCCCTTTATTGGGCACATTTGCCCCCTACTATTAGCACCTTTTTGCATGCATATATGTAGACTTATCTCTTGCTCATCACCTGTTTAAATGTCACTATAGGAAGGGAAGAATATATTATTGGAATATTTTTGGTTTGTCTCTCTGTTCTGTCTGTCAGGATAATATTGGACATCGCTTACTCCAGAAACATGGGTGGAAGCTGGGCCAGGGATTGGGAAAATCTCTTCAGGGTAAGTTTTTTAAATATACAAAAAGAAAGAAAGAAAGAAAACAATGTTTCTGATGCAAATCTTGTGCCTGAGTATGTTCGTTGTCCTTTTTTAAGTGTTTGGGTGTTGTCGTCGTTTCCCATCCCCCCCACCCCCCCCAGAATAGTCTGTTTTTCCTATAACTGTATTTTAAGTCACTATTAAGGTAATAATTTATAAGAGTAAGCTGTTATGCCATGAATATTTTCTGGTAAAAAATATTGTGTATACCTCAACCTGTTTTCATTTTTTTTGGTGGGAGTAACCAGTGGGTGGAATGAAAGAAATACATAGCAGGGTGTGCTTTGTGTCATTTAGTGATGTAGTGTGGCTTCAGTATTATAAAGAGAACCATTCAGTAGCAGAGTTTAACTTTTATACTACCCCCACCCCATTTTCCCTGAAGCTATTTATTGCCTTGGCTCTTTTTCTCTGCAATCATACTCTATGTAATAGTAGAGAGAAAAATTAACCCATTTTATATGAAACATAAATGGAAGCAGAGAGGCCATTTTTCAGGTTCCAATCAGATTGGGCTGTGGAAAATGTATGGCTTAACGTTTCCATTACATTTTTTTTTCTTGTAACTATACTAACCATTTGGATAAAAACAGAGTACTAATATTTCTACTTCTGAGTTTTTGCTAATTGGAAACCAGCCAACTTCGTTCACTTTTTTGCTCCCTCACATTCAAGAGCTGTTGTTGATTCTTTGCACATGTGAGATGGGATGATTGTGCTCCCACATCTGCTCCTGAAGGGTCTCTTTGTATAAAAGGGTCTTTGGGGAGAGGTGTGCTACTGTTGACTTAATTATTTGCATTTTGGAAATGGATTTCCATAATTTGAATGGGAAGTCTTAATCAACTCGTGTGTGTGTGTGTGTGTGTGTGTGTATAGCTCAGAGGAGTGATGACTAGGGAAGACGTCACAGTAAGGCTGGAGGAATAATAGTTATTACCAAATAAAGGTCATTACATTTGGCAAAGTAGACATGGCTAGCTGGATCAGAGAATGCCCGTAGGGCAGTGGATGTTATACTTTTCTTTTTTCTTCTTTTTTAGCAGTACCTCCCAAAATATTTTTTAAATGTTGAACATTAATATATAAAAGGGAGGAGAGGAAACCACAGTTATTTTGGCTGAAGTAAAGTTCTAGGTCACCAGGAGTAGTTTGGAAACCATAACTAGAAGGCAGTAATGGGAAATTGCATTCAAATAGGCACAAATCTAGTACTTACTGAGTATTTATGTGCTAAGCCCATAAGAAGTATTTACGTGCTAAGCACGTAACAGATACCTCATTTAATTCTTACAACAAATCTGTGAGATAATTACTGCCATTCCCATTTTGCAGAAGAAACTGAGGTTTAGAGAAGTTTTTTGTAAGTTGCCCAAGAATAAGCAACCAGTAAATGACAGTATCAGAATTCAAATTTTGGTCTTTCTGACTCCAAAACCCATGCTGTTACTTACTACACTGAATGTGGAAGGCTTTAAGGTTGCTCCAATTTGGAACTTTATTTTGTAAGCCAAGGGCATTTTTTGATCAGAGGAAAGGTATAGACTTTATAGCAAGAGATATTAAAGCTAATCAAAATTTATTTTACAGATGAAGAAATTTAGATTTGAGGTTCCAAAATATATTAGTAATAGTGCTGAAACCTATTCCAAATTCTCTGATTTGTGATCTGTTCTTTCGATTATACCAACCAGGAAATTTGCAGTACAAGTTAAATATTCGTCTGGTCAAAGTATGTCTGAAGAAGATGGAAAACCATTTAGAATGTTGTTTGGGTTTGAGTTGAGGGACTAGGATAGAGTAATAGCAGTGGAAATGGAACAGAAGGTATAAATATAAAGGATAATAACACAGCAACTATGAAGCACAGTGTACAGTCAATTTATGCATGTTCCCTGGTGTATTGTTAATCCTTTGTAATAAGGATTTATTAAGTGTTTACTGAGTGTTTGCACATGGATTATCTAACTTAAGTTTTCTTTGTGGTAGGTATCATTCCTATTTTATAGATGAGGAAATTGACATTCTGAGCAATACTCTACCCAAGATCATATAACAAATAAGGGGTAGAATAATGGTGCCAAGTCCTATGCTATAATTAATATGCCATAATGGATATAAACTCTGTCTCCTAGAAAGATGTGATGGTGGTGAGAAATGCAAGTACTATAGAATTGACATATACAGTAGTTAATTCTGTCCCAAAATATTAGAGATAGCTTTCAATGTGATATTTTTACCTTAGGGCACTTGAAGCAATCATAATTGATACAGGTTTGTATGTATTCACTAGAAAATTGAGTCTAGATTGAGTGGTAAGAACCTTGGCCTCATTTATAGGGATTGTTGATAATTGGTCTCCAGGGAAAAAGAAAATACTGTAATTTCCTCCCTTATTTTTTCTTATACTTTATGTTTCTCTCTTGTGGCATTTTTAATGTTCTACTTTGTATAATTTATGTTTATGTGTCTTTTTTTAAAAAAATATATCTTTATTGATTTCAGAGAGAGATAGAAACATCAGTGATGAGAGTCGTTGATCGGTTGCCTCCTGCACGCCCCCTACTGGGGATCAACCTGTCAACCCCGGCATGTGCCCTGACTGGAAATCGAACCCCTACCTCCTGGATCATAGGTCGATGCTCAGCCGCTGAGCCATGCCAGCCGGCTGTTTATCTGTCTTGTAATCTTCATTAGACTATAAATTCCTAAATGATAATAATTGCTGTGTATTTACATGTATCTCCGTTGTTGCTTTTCATATGTTTTTTATTCTGCATATATTTGTTGAATCCTTAAAATGTGCCAGATCTATACTAAGTCTTGAGAGTTCAAGGATGAATATATAGCCTCTACCCTCCAGAGGCTCACGTCTAATAGAAAGACAAATACAACAAATAAATGTAATGCAGTATAATGACATCATAATTGTGAAGTTAAAGGTACAGTGGGGGCTTCATAGCAGATTGAACAGGTAGAATTTCAGTTCATTTCTTGAACAACTTAACAAGTGAAAAATCTCAGACTGTGAGAATGAGAAAGCAAGCAGCTGCACTATATGGAACCTCCTCTTTCTTTCATATAGAAGCACTGGACCAAGTGTAAACGTGAGAAGCACATAAAGTAAAAAGTATGTTTTTTAAGAAATATATTTCATTAAAGAAAAAAGCTAAAACAGAAAATTTTCATTAAAATGGCTACCAAAATGTGAAAAACAGGTTATACATTTTGGAAAGAGAGCAAGAGGACAGAGCATGAAGCAGGATGTTTCAGTCTATAAAACCTTTGCTTTTTATGTTATACTTCTACAAATTCTAATCAGTGGTGACACAAAGGAGATGTTTAATAAATATATTTCAAATTAATATTTATTAGTAAGCATTAACCTATTTGGGGGGTGGGGGAGATAGAAAGGTTTGATTACCATTAAATTTGTTTTCCCTGGAGCACAGGAACTCACTGCAAATAGAAATGACCTCTGTGGATAAAACCTAATTCCTCTTTTCAAGGAGCTCAAGAGAACCAAAATTCTAAAGTATTCTTAAAATATTAATAATAATTTTCCATTGTCCCTCCCCCCTCTCTAAAATAAAAATATAATAAAATACAAGATAAATTTTCATTTTACTTGTGGTAAAAATACATAACAAAATTACCATCTTGACCATTTTTTAAATTTTTATTTTTTTAAAGAACAGTTTATTGATTTTTCAAGAGAGGGGAAAGGAGAGGGAGAGAAAGAGAGCAACATCAATTGGTTGCCTCCTGCACAACCCCCACCAGGAATGAGCAGGCAACCCAGGCATGTGCCCTTGACCTGGGAATAGAACTGGCAACCTCCTGGTGCACGTGATGACGCCCAGCCTACTGAGCCACATGGGCCAGGGCCATCTTAACCATTTTAAAATTCACATTGTGTGCAAAGCCCGTCAGTTTTGAATGGCTAGTACAGTGTCTTCATTCTTCAAAATGAATGGAACCCTTATTCTGTTGCAACAATAAGGGCCGAGTTTAATTGTCTTATAAATGGCTCTATTTTCTAGTGTCAGATTCAACAGTGTACAGACATTGTGCTGGTTTCTCTTACATAACTCTTTCTCTAATACCCACATGATTTGACCTAGAATATAGCCACATTTTTGGCATATTGAGATAACTCATGACAGATTTCTTTTTCATTGAACCAGTCCTTTGCTATAAGTAACCACCGAAGAAAGCCCTGTTGCTCTAGTGAAAATGATAATGCTGCCATAGTTTGTATAGACTAGTCACTGCATAGAATTTCTAGGCTCATGACTTTGTAAGTTCTTTGTATTTACTAGTTTACTGTTAACTTTCAGTTTTCCTTTTCATTTGGTTTTAGGGCTCTAACGTCTTTAACATTAAAACCTGATCTCTTCAGGATTTTTTTTGTTAATGTTTAAAGTTATTTTGACCCATGCAAGGTTTTTGCAAAGAGTGCCAGTTCTTGGGACTACAATGCAGATATCTTGTCACTAGGTAGATTGGGGAATAGGGCATCGCGACTCAAGAACAAAATTATCTGTGGTAAGGTAGAAAATTGTACTTTGTAAGGTGGGTTTATTTTTGTACTTGAATTTCCCTTATTCAGCTTTTGTTCTGCCTTAGTGTTTATTAAAATATTTCAAAAGTTTAAAAAGTAAGAATGGGGTCTGATATTATTTTACATCTCATCCTGTCTGTAAGGTTCAATCAATAAGACAACCAACAAATATTTATTGGGCTAATAATATATTCTAGCTACATCAGCTATAACTGTCATAAGCCCTGGACAGAGTAGGTAAGACATCTTGCCCTCCAGTATTACTTTCTAGTCCCCCAAGTCTTGTTTTTTATTTTATTTATTTTTAGGATATGCTTTTTTTCTAATTGATTTTAGAGAGAGGAAAGAAGGGTGGGGAGAGAGAGACAGACAGAAAAACAGACATCGATTTGTCATT